CTGTATTCTCTAAGGAATCAAAAATTTTAATATGAAAGAATTTTAAAAACTATTATGGTATAGAGTCGAGGGTAAAACGTCATCTCGCTTCAGGCTTATTAAATGCATGATAGTTTTTTAAACATTAATGCGGTGGGCTCCCTGTGGTTAAACTAAAAGTCATTTAAAGGCTCAATTTAATTAAAATATTCAAAAACACTGTTTTACTACTCTTGCTCTATACATTTCTTTAAAAAAAAAACATTTTTATAACATCAACGAAATATAACTTTTAGATACTCGTATTCGTTCTTTGGTATCGGAGGAAGACTTTAGCAAATTTTACCACCCCCCCCAGTTTTGTAACATCTATTTTTGTATAAGAAAACGTGCGGGATCAAGTTATGTTAAATGAGATATAAGGTTGAGATACTTTGTAAGAGTACAGTGTAGAGTGCTGGTAGTTTGTCCAATATCGTGGCAACCAGGCGCAAACACATGTGACTGTATACGACGATCGGCACAACGTATTACTATGAAAAACTTAGAGCAGTTTTCGTATGACTGTGAAAAGCTCACGGCACGAACATGGACGCGACATGGCAAGCAATAAGCCAGACCAATCACATTGCTCGAGAATTTACTGTTCATCCAATCAAATGTCCGAAACACGGCGCGGACACGGTCACGCCAATGTCACGGCTCTGTCCGACCAAAATACCGCGAATAAAAAAATCCCCCAATCAAAATTCTAGAAAACATCATGGTCAAGCCAATGTGACGGCACTGCCAGACCAATCACATTGTGGAAGAAAAATATCCCCCAATCAAAAGTCTAGAAAACATCACGGTCACGCCAATGTGACGGCAGTGCCGGACCAATCACATTGCGCGAATAAAAAAATCCCTCAATCAAAAGTCTAGAAAACATCACGGTGCGGCAAGGCACGCATACGGCACCGACGTTTTCACAGTCATACGAAAACTGCTCTATGGCACGGTTAGCGCCTTGCCGTGACTGTGTCAGTGCAGTGTAGATGAAAATATTCCAAATTCCTCACCGTAACCGTGACCTCTCGCACTCGTATGAAATCTGCTCTAATAGCGGCAAATTATGTCTAGACAAGTCTTGCCTAAGCAGGACCTTAGCACCAACAGAATCCACCCAGAAAATTACAACAAACACATCAAAATTAAAGATCTAGTGAAGGTTGGTCCGCAATCGAACCCCCAGCCCTAAATGAGAAATAAGATTCCTTCCCGTAATATCGATGTAATCAAACATTCTCATAAGTGTGTGTATGATCATGTGTTGTGAAGTGACTTTTTAACCCCCCCCCCCCCCCCCCCCCCCCCCCCCCCCTTTTAGTTTTCCAAGACATTTTTGCTACGGCCCTCCTTTCCCCCGGTATGAGTTCGTAGATGTTTCCTGCTAGCAGAGCCTATTTTTCCTTTGTTTTGGAGGCAGAAAAATAGGCTCCGTCGATGTAGGAAGCTTTCTTTGATACACCGCCGACCACAATCGTGGACGAACAAGACCAGTTTTAAAACCGGTTTTTAACCTGGCAAACGTAGTACGCATGAGTAAATTTGGCGCCAAACGTTATTTGACAAAGGCAGCTGTCTAAATCATTACAGCGTTGCTAAGTTACGCCCTGCATGCGCGACAAGTATAACGTCCTACATCGGCCACCCTACAAGGGAATCGTAGATGGGAACTGATACTCGCTCTTGCATGAAATGATTTATCGCAATAAGAACATTCAAATGGCTTTTCATCGGTGTGTGTTCGTAGATAAACATCGAGATCACCTTTCCGTACAAATGCTTTGGACAATGCGATCATTCATATGGCTTTTCACCCGTATCAGTATGTGTTCGTAGATGGATACTGTATTCATATTTTGTAAATGTTTTATCAGAATGCGAACATTCATATCGTTTTTCACCTTATGTGTTCATAGATGGATGTTCATACTCGTTTTCTTTGTATATGCTTTAATACAATACCAACATTCATATGGCTTTTCACCGGTATTTTTTCGTAGATGATGATCGAGATTATTATTCTTTGCAAATTCCTTTTGATAAAATGAACAATTATTAGGCTTTACACCTGTATGTGTTCGTAGATGAACATCGATAGTACATTTCTTTGCAAGTGCCTTTTTACAATACGAACATTCTTATGGCTTTTCACCGGTATGTCTTCGTAGATGAATTCCGAGATTAGTTTTTAATGCAAATGCTTTATCACAAAACGAACATTCATATGGCTTTTCACCGGTATGTCTTCGTAGATGGATCTTCAAAGTCATTTTCTTTGTAAATGCTTTATCACAAAACGAACATTCATATGGCTTTTCACCGGTATGTTTTCGTAGATGGATATTCAATTCCGATTTCGTGATAAATGCTTTATCACAACACGAACAGTCATATGGCTTTTCACCGGTATGTGTTCGTAGATGGATTTTCAATTCCGTTTTCGAGATAAATGCTTTATCACAACACGAACATTCATATGGCTTTTCACCGGTATGTGTACGTAGATGAAGTCCGAGATTAGTTTTTAATGCAAATGCTTTTTGACAATGCGAACACTGGTATGCCTTTTCACCGGTATGTGTTCGTAGATGAGTATCAAGTACGCTTTTCCACTTAAATGTTCTACTGCAGTAAGAGCAGTCATAAGTCTTGGTATTACGTTTGTGCTTAGTTTGTACATTTGGGACAAGCTCCTTCCTTCCTTYCATCTTGGTAACTATGGTGCCCAATGACTCATCCATCTCATAGTCTTCACTAACTTCATCAAGGTTCTCGTCCACATCAGTGTTATTTAATGTGTTCTGCTCATTGGCATCAATCGTATCACCTTCGTTTACTTCTTCTCTTATTTCGTTGCTTTCGCTATCTCTATTTTCCGTTTGTCGTTCATTGTCCACATACATTGAGGTACATTGATTGACACAACCGTAGTCTTCAGTCTGTGTAGCCACACTGCACAGTTCATTTGGTACATCTGGTACGTCACTGGTCTGTACTTTGAGTATGGTATTATTCTAGATTGAGAACGAGTAAATAGTGAGTTAAAGTCTAGACGTAAGGTTCATAAACGTGTAGATTTTTATAAAATTGTTTCGGGTGTCACTCCTTCCTATCTCTCGGACTTGTTACCAGCAATAGTTAAGCAACGTTCTACTCGTTCTCTAAGGTCTAATTATAATTTTAGTCTTTTTACTCGTAGGACGGAACGTTTTCTGCAGTCTTTTTTTCCTTCTGCTGATAAGTTATGGAATTCTTTAGATTTGCAAATTAGGAATGTTGAATCTCTTTCTATTTTTAAGAAAGATATCTGTGACAAGTTTTTTTCTTTGAAATATAATAAACTATTTAAGGTGACTGCCTACTTTTGGAAATTGATTTAAACTTTTTTTAAAACTTCGATTTTCCGAATTGAAATTTAATGCTCATTCCAAATCTGTAAAGAAAAATAGGGTGTCCCGAGCTCGTTTTCGAGATAATCCGCATTTAATGGAAGCCTACGCACGAGCTTTTGGAGCAAAAATTGTGCCACCGGAAGTGGTTAGAAAAAAAATTAAGATTCATAAGATAATAGTCATTTGCAGACTATATGATTACACGAATGAAGGCTAGTCAATCTTTCTACAATAATACATGGTTATTTTCGACAAAAAGGCAAAGAGATACATTGAATTGTCATATTTTTTAGTTTCGGTGCTCTTAAAAATCTCATAAAGTTGAGCAAAAATCCCTACAAACATCTATTTTTTCATGTGTTACTGATTTAAACTTTTCCTAAAATGTTAATGTAACCTAGATTTTTAGGAGTTTTTTCGAATGAGCTATCAAAAAATATAGAGTCCCGTGCAAAATTTGAGGGTTTTGCCCTGTTGAAGCTCAAGACGCGTATGGTTCTTCAATAAAATCTTGTAGATTTTTCAGCGGTTTTTGAGCGCGCGCACATCGTGGGCTCAAATAGAACGTTCAAAAGTAGGCAGCCACCTTAATTATTCTATTTCAAGAATAACGTCAGTTCTACATGCTCGATTAAGGTTACAAGCCTGGGCATTAAACGAGTACTTGTTTCAAATCAATTGTTCTTCCTCTCCCCGATGTAGATGTGGAATTGAAAAAGAATCAATTATGCACTTTTTCTTTAAATGTCCCTTATATGCTGCTCAGAGAAATTCTCTTTTTACCTCAGCTGCATTGATTTGTGGTAGTTTGTGGCAAAATGTTTCTTCAAAAATGCAAAAACTTAGTTGGTTTTTATATGGCT